ACACCCCCAGGAAGCCCCCTCCAGGCAGCCCACCTGGTGGTAAAGCGCTTCCAGGCCGGCGGCCCCGCGCGGATCATGGTGGAGAAGGCCAGGGCAGCCAGGAGGGAGAAGAGGCCCAGGAAGAGCAAGCCCTCGATGCCATCGTAGCAGACGCCAGCGAGGGCATCCAGGTAGTCCTGCCGGAGAGGGACACGCAGCTGGAAGGGCGTGGGCACGGCCTGGGGGCGGAGCTTGTCCCTGGAAGCCCCTCTCCCTCGGCCTGCACTGGCACGATGACTATCTGCTCTACATCCATCCGGATGTGAAAGCTGTTGGCCTAATCCCAGTGTGTCCCCTGCTTTAGTGTCCGATAGTTCAAATTCCTGGAGATGAGCCTGGCCATGAGCCTGGGATGTCCACTTGCAACCCAGGGAGATGGATGGGATGACCAGGTGGCCGGGAGTGTGGACAACGGGGAGCAGCCGCCCTCACCGAGGTCAGGGTCCCCAGTATCCTAGAGGTGACCTGACCCAGTGCTGCCACCTCGCCCCCTGGTACCTTCACCGGGTCTCCCTGTCTCAGCTGCTGGAGAGAACCAAGACGCCAGGCACCTCTTCCACCTTCCATTGTGCAGCCTCCTCCCCATCCCCCAGGCCTGCAGGACACCCGGGCAATCTCTCTTCTCAGCCTCTCCTGGCTGCTCTGGGAGACTGTGGCCAGCGGGGTGTCCCCACCCCCCGCACGCCCCCAGGGCCAGCCCAGCACCTTGTGCAGCCCTCGGCAATCCAACAAGGCCGTCAGCTGGTGGAGGCTGGACTCCGAGGAGTTCAACAGGAGCTGGATGCCGAGCAGCTCCTCCTGAAGACGGACAGACGGACAGAGAGGCAGACACTGAGCGGTGGGGGCAGGGCTGTGGCTAAGACCACACGCAGCAGCGGGTGCACAGAGGCCTTTCAAGCCAAAGGAGCCAGACTCTGGGGAGGGAACCCTCTCCACAGGCCCCGGGGCTCCCCTCCTCTGCGTGGATGCTGGGGAGACCGCCTCACCTCCGCCGTGGGGAAGAAGGGCACGGCAGCCCGCAGCAGTTCCGCCACCTGGGTCTGCATGGCGGTCAGCGAGCGCTGGAAGATGGTCAGCGCCTGCGCCAGGAGAGACCGCGGCCCCACTGTGAGGTTTCACTCCCCTGCAGCGCCCCTCCCCCGGCTGCATCTGCGCTCACATCCCTGCCTATGGCCCTTCCCGCCTGCAGGAACCTTCCCCTCACCCCCAGGCTCCTTGAGAGCTGCAGGGCCCCCTTGCTTCTTGCTACTCAAAGTGTGGTCCTCGGACCAGCAGCACTGGCCTGGCCTGGGAGCTTGTGAGAAATGCAGACTCTTGGACCCCACCCAGACCCACCTCACAGCATCAGCACGACAACCACACCTGGGTCATGGGCATCATACATGCTGATGTGTGACCCAGAAGATGCTGACCAAGAGCACTGTCCCCTTCAGAGGACCACAGTGAAGCTGGGGCTGGGGGTCTAGGAGGGGGGCAGGCTGACACAGGGGGCTTGGGCAGGGTGAGGGCGGGGCGGGTGCTGTACCTGCTGGAAGGGGCTGCTGACGCTCTGATTGCAATACAGGTAGTAACGGGTCACCTCTGCAAGGCAAAGACCAGGTCAGGCAGGAAAGGGACCAGGCCCTCGTCCACCCTCCGTGGCTGAGCCGCTCCCAAGCTTCCCAAGGAGGCAGGTTCTAAGAAACGGCCCAGCTCGGCCGGTGTGGCTCAGTGGTTGAGCATCAATCTATGAACCAGGAGGTCACAGTTTGATTCCTTGTCGGGGCATGTGACGGGATCCTGGGCTCAGTGTCGGGTGGGGGGCGTGCAGGAGGCAGCCGATCAGTGATCCTCTCTCATCACTGATGTTTCTATCTCTCCCTCCCTCTCCCTTCCTCTCTGAAGTCAATAAAAATAAATAACAATAATAACAAAAAGAAACGACTCAGAGGTCTGGCTGGTGCTGGAAGCGTCGGGTTTGGGAGGGACCGGGGACTCCAGGGCGGAAACAGGTAAGCAGAGGCCCAGGCAGCTCTGACCAGGGAGGCCCACAAGCCTGTACCTGTGCTGAGCTGGGTCTCCGTGATGTTCAGGATGAAGGTGTCGGGAGCCGCACAGAAGTCACTAGTGCCCTAAGCCAGGGAGAGACGGGAGGGGCGGGGCAAAGTCACCACACTAGGGCCCTGGGAGGAGCCCTGTGCCCCCAGCCCAGCCACTGGACCCCTCAGCTCAGTCCTGTGGCCAAGAACAGCCACGGGCCAGGCTCCTCAGTTTGAGTCCTGGCTCCGCCCCTCCCTAGCTCTGTGGCAGGTGCCTTGCCTATAATATTCACTTCATGAATTGATTGCACATCAAGCCTCCCCGGTGTCTAATGCCTCTTCTGGGATGGACGTTGGCGAGCCTGGCCCGTGGGAGGCTGCGGGAGGTGTCGGGCTATTTGCACCAGGGCCTCACTTGCTCATCTGTTTCATTGTTTGTCTTGCTGTTATCAAGCCCCACACCCCCCGGGGTGTCAACCCGCGAAGCCTTCCCTGGACTCTAAAGAACCATGTTGGTGCCGAAGCCATCTTTGAGCTTCTGGGCGCAGGTCCTGCTCAGGAAGACTGGGGGGGAGGGGGGGGTAGGGGCTGGGAGAGCACGGGGCTGGGGGTCAGAGGACATGAGCTCCAGGCTCTGCCGCTGATGACCCACAGACGGCCTGGCTGCTGACCACCACGGCCCAGGGGCACCCCCACCCTGTCACTGGAGGGGCAGGAGGAGGGGAGCCAGCCTAAGTGGGGGGTGGGGAGAGGGCGAGGCCACCATCGTTGTCTGGGTCACCCCCGAGAAGTTTGAGATCCAAAGACGGGCAGGAGGCCTTGTCAGAAGCTCCACCAGGGATGTGGCCTCCTCGTCCCCGCCTCCCCCTCCGGCCAGGAGGACTCCCCTTCCTGTCCACCAGGACACGGGCCCATGTGTGCACTGTCCATGCAGTGGGGCAGGGATGGGGTAGGGAGAGAGAGGGGGCCGAGCACAGCTGGGGCAGGTGGGGAAGCCACTCAGTGCCCAGCTGGTGGCGGAGCCTGCAGGCAGCTCCCGACTTTGGAGTTAGCCTGGGACCCTCCCATGACAGTAACTGTGGTAACAGTGGCAGCTGCTGTTTAGTGAGCATATGCCCCACCCTCCCCCCGCATGGACTAATTACCCACCTCATCCCACCAACACACTA